GTTCAAGGTTCATTTGTGTTGTAGCGTGGGTCAGTTCTTCATTCTTTAAGTGAAATTAACTTCTGTTCTCCATCTTTTTTATGAATGACTATTGCGTGGGCATGTCCTGTTTTCTCTGTCCGTGCGGCCGCTGGTGGACCGGGTGTTGCCGCCTTTGGCTGTGATGACGCGTGTGCTGTGAGCATTCGTGCACGCGTGTTTGTGCGGCACGTCCTTCCTCCCTCGGGTTTCCACCTGGGTGCGGGATTGCCTGGGCCCTGTTCTCTCTGACCTCCAGTGCTTGGCAACGCCGTTTCCTCCCTGAAACACCCACCCCGACTCCCCTGCCCACCTCCACTGTCGCCTGGCTGATTCTTACTCACCTTCACATCTCAGCTGAGACGCCTCCTCCAGAAGGCCTGCCTGATTGCTCCTGGCTCCACCCGGGATGGTGCCTGTGTCCCGTCTCTGATGCCCTGAGTACTCCTTGAGGACAGGGACTGTTTGTGCATCTTTCAGCCCCAAGCTCACAGTCGGACATGCAATAGTTGCTCAATTTTGTGCTGAAGAGCTGGCTGGACAGATGAGCTGGGGCAGGACGAATAGGTCTGGGCAGGCGCAGTTAGAAGAGGCTTCAGGGCAGAGGTGCAGCTGGAGAGAGTGAAGGGGAGGCCTTTTAGGCTGGAGGTGGGCGTGCAGCCTAGACTAGGGCCCAGGGAAGCCCCCAGCTGGCCTGCGTCGGGGGCAGTGAGCGCCTGGTTCACCTGGCTTGGTGGGAGGGGCGGGTGGAGCTGGAGGGAAGGTGGGAGGTTAAGTGGGCCTGAGCGGTGACAGAAAGAGGACCAACACCCGGCCAGTGTGGCTCAGTGTTAAGCATTGACCCTGAATCAAGAGGTCACGGTTCGATTGCTAGCCAGCGTACATGCCCGGGTTGCCGGCTCGATCCCCAGTGTGGGGCGTGCAGGAGGCAGCCGATCCATGATTCTCTCTCATCACTGATGTTTCTCTCTCCCTTCCTCTCTAAAATCAATAAACATATATTTTTTAAAAAGAAAGAGCGAGGACCAAGTCCCAGACACTGAGGAAGTGGGGGCCCTTGGGAAGAGCTGTCCGGTGGGAGGCAGTCGGGAGGGGCTGTCAGGAATAACCAGGACCAGGCTGAGGAAAGCCATGAGGTGGATGGGGGGAGCCCTGCCTCTGCCTGGGCCTCAGTTTCCCGTGAACAGGGAAGTGGTGAGTGGCGCAAGGATTCCTGGGGTCTTTCCAGCTTTGTGTGTGTGTGGGGGGGGGGGGGGCGGGGTATGGAGA